TGCCGCGAGGCGTAGCAGGCCAGCTCCAGCTAGCAGAACAGTTGGGGCGGTACTCCTTCGGAGAGCTGTGGCAGATTCAAGCACTTTGTGGATCATTGCTGTAACCCTAAACCCTAAACCATCCTATCCTGTTCAATATCAGATCTCCTTCGCAAGATGCGCACCGAGGAGGGATCCAAGAGCCGTCCGGCCTCGGTCTGAGAGGGGAGTTTTGATTCGGAAACTGCTCCCAGACAGCCCAATACCACTTAATTAAGGAGTATACCTTAAATCATAATTATAAGCCCAACACCCCTTAATTAAGGAATATACCTTAAATCATAATTATAAGCCCCTTATAGATTAAGGTATATTGCTTAATTAAGGGGTATTGGGCTCTCTGGGCTAAGGAGTTTACTCGAGGCTGTAAGCGTCTCAGGCTCCGCTGCCTTCGCCGCCTCTCAGTGCCCCGCGCCCTGTGGGCCTGGTCACCGGAGGCCCACACAGAACGGCGACAGAGAGCTTTGCGGATCTTTAAAGCTTGCTTCTGGTCAGGTTGAGAGAGAAGGCGGCTGCAGAGATGCGGAGGTCCACCACAATTGCCGATTCATCGTGGGGCTGAAATTTTTTTGACGTCCAATTTGAATCAGTCCCCCTGATGGGACAGCACGAGTTTGAACTTACAGATGCCCGGTAGCTGCCATGGGTCTCACCTGCAGTACATAGGGTAGCGCAGCTTGGGGCACAATAGCCGGCAGAAGTTAGCCCTCGTGCCAAACAAGCAGGGAAGTCTTCTTGTCCCTGAGAATGCGGTTTCTTCCTGGTCATTGCTGTGGAGCTGAGAAGCTGATTTGTCGAAGACCGTTCTCAGGAGGGGTCCCAGACGTGCCTCATCATGTTGACAGTACAGCCACATTTAAAAGCACGGAGTATGGTGATCGCACTGAAAGTTCATCGCATGTATTTTAGCAGCCGTCTAGTGGGAGTGCAGCTTTCAAGCGAGCTCCTGGAAAGATCATGCTTGTCACCTACATCGTGCACCCTGTCCTCTAAATTTTGCCTGGAGTGCTGTTAGGAGCAGCCGCAAGGCCAACAGCCCTGGAGGCAACGTTGCATACGAGCCTTCGTCGCTTCCGTAGACGAAGGCTGTAGTGCAACTCATGTATATAGATTGTGCCACAGTGCACGTTTCACAGGCCGTATCTCCAGGTAGCAGAGTGGTTTGGACAATGTTCCGGCTGATTGGTTTCTGGCGGACGAAGACGCGCGAACATGTCAAAGAAGGCTTCTCACATGGGTGGTTGTCAAAATAATGGTCTCTTTTGGGGTACCCTAAATAATAGGTGCCGTAAGGACCCAAAACGGGACCATAATTTTGACAACCACCCACATGGTTCGTGGATTTTGCGACTTCGTGCTGCTTGCCTGGGTTTGCTCTCGAGATCTGATGAACACATGACAGCCTGTTGTACAGAACACATAATTCATGGCTCCAGGGTTACCTATGTCACGAATCAATCATGCATTGGTGCTGAATCAACATGCTCTCTGCCAGTGTTGTGCTAAATTTGAAGGCTTCGCGGTGGAACTGCTGTGGCTCCCGGAGACATACCACTACCAAGCCAGCAGCTTACACACCAACTTCATAGTCTCCACGGCAGCTTGAACACGTCTAGAGGAGAGAGTACCTGACAGGGGACCGCGCTGGCAGAGCTGCCCCAGAGCGCTCGCGGCCTGAAGAGCTCGAGTTGAAAAGGTGGGGCATTCTCCAGTTCCTTTGCTGAGAAGTGCCCAGGCGCCGCTGATCCAAAACCTCATCTTGTGCGGGGCCTCAGCGTATCGAGCGAGCTGGTGGTGTGACGTTGGGTCCGTGGACTCCTGGGGCGTTCTGAGGTATGGTGGTGTACAGAGACCCGAGTCGGACCCCATGCGCGACTCCAACAGCTTCCTTCGGGACTGATTTTGCCGACTTGAGATCCCGTGCACCCGCTCCCAGCTGGAAGCTCACAGGACCTGTCGCATTATCAGCTCAACGACTCACAGCTCGAGGTAGGGAAATTTAACACAGAGATACAGCCGACGAAAGTGGCTGAAAGAAGGCCATGGTGATTTCTGCTCGAAGCCAGGCTGTTCGGTCAGCGCTGTCATCGCTCGGATCCCAGGCTCTCAGAGGGCTACTAGTATGGTGATGATGCTTCGTGCTGCTGGAATGAGTGGACAGTATGGTTGTCATTGCGAATGCCGTTGTTTTGGGTCATGGTTGCACCCCTTCTCTCTGTGTTCTTCTCCGATGTTGGTTGTCGCGGATGGAATTCCGACAGCACAGCCACGTTTCTCCTTTTTGCCGTTTGATAAAGCTGTGTGGGGCCGCGACGCCGAGGCCGGTGACCCTGGTTCACGGTCCACCGGGGACCGGAAAGACGAGGATGCCCTTGCTTTCCCAAGAATGCGCAAGGCAATGGCAGAGTAATAGTAGTCATGAGTCATGACAACTGTGATTGCAGGAGCCGCTCCCAGCAATAAGCAGTAGTAGTACTGGTGGTAGCAGTAGTAGTAGTAGTAGTAGTAATAATTGTTGTTGTCGTAGTAGTAGCAGAAGTAGTAGTAGTGGTAGGAGTCGCAGTGGCAGCGGCAGTCGCAGTCACAGTAACAGCAGTAGCGGGACGTAGTAGTAGTTGTAGTCTCAATCGTAGTCGACATCATAGTCGGAGTACTGAGCGGCAACGAATTAGAAGCCGTGGTAGTAGAAGCAGCCTTTATTTTTGAGAGTTGCCGCAAATAGAGGAAAGTGTACAGTGTTCTTGTCAATAGGGAAGCAGACTACGCATTCACTGCTACGCCATGCAACATGCTGTTCTGCTGGTCTGCAGATCTGATTCAGGACTGCTGCTGTGGTTGCCCTCACCTTTGCGAGTCACAATGCGCAGAGTTCAGTGCTGTCCTAAGTGCGCAAGTTTGCCGCAGACACCCGAAAGGCAGGGAAGGCAGATGTGATGCTTGTGCACCGAGCAGTCACTGCGGGATCCTTGGCTGCTTCATTTCTAGCTAGGCGCGAGCCTGCATCCTCTACACCGCCAACAGCAACCGGGCCGTGGATGTGGCGGCGGAGGTGCATCGATGCTGGGGTGTCCTGTTGGTTGGAGAGTATCACGATGTCACGAGTCAGCAGATGTTGCGATCAGCCGAGGCCATTACAGAGCTTTCGACTGAACGCCTCGAGGATTTGTTCGAGACCCAAGCGCAGGAACTGTTCGATGCAGTTTTTTGTTTCGATTCCTGCCGGGTGGGTGGACATGTAGGAACAGCCAGGCAGTTCGTCTGCTGTGAGTCCTTGCGAGCTCTTGACCTTGCAGGACGAGAAGTGCGCAATTTGCTGGGGGGAAGGTCGGGGACTCACCTGCGAGTTTCACAACATGGAGGTCCCCCAAAGAATCCGTGAGTAGTACGTCCTTGTGAAAAGGACCCCTAAGCAAGGTAGCCCTGATTTTAAGACTCTCTCACTTGTGTCCTAACCCCCTTGCGATGGGGAAACGTGCCGTGCAGGTTGCAATGCCATCACATTTTGTGGACACGTCTTTCATCGCCACTGTCTTGATCCCAGTTTCTGGCATTGTCAGGAGTCTGTCATCTGAGCTTTCTGGTCTTCTCTTAGTTGATCGAACAGACCAAGACTTCATCACCTGCTCTCTTGCCATCATTGGTTCAAGTTGCTGCTTCTCCACATAGGAAGTCAGCCACGTCTCTGCTAGACAACTCTTCAGCATGATTTGGCAATTCGCAAATCATAACCTCACCAGACAGCGTCATGTCAGCATTGCGACGAGCATTTCCCAAATTGCCCGTGCCTGAGTGGGACCTAGGACCTATGCCACTCAGCTCGCTGTCGTTTTTTTGGCACTGTGCCGCGGGAGAAGAGCAGTTGAGCTTCCCAGGCACCTGGCGCTTTGCCGCCCGGTTTCTGTGCTGGTCGAGGCCCTGCATTGGCAGCATTTTTCCGCTCCGCGTCTGTTCCGCGAATTTGTCGGAAGGCGACGCCAAACCCGAAGTCCATGAAATTCGTCTTGGAAGGAGGTGAAGTTCTTGGACGTGGGACAAAGACCGGCTGTGAAGCTTCAACCTGTGTTCAACCCAAATGGTATCCTGTCACTCGCAGCGCAGGACCATGCTCTTTCGCAGTCCTCATGAGGCAAGTGCTATAAACTGCAGGGGTCCTTTGCACGCCGGCGCGCTGACGGGATGTGTTGCGCAACCGTCGACGGTCTAGCTCAGCGCGATTGTTGGTCCTGCACATCCCCTGCTGCATCTTGACGCGTCTCTTCATGCCGGTCGAAGAAAACTCTTGTTGCCGTCAGGCTCTCCAGTCTCCTCTCGCTAAGTCCTTGCTTGAGTTGGATGGCGTGCGGGAAGTCGCTCGCCTGCAGATAAGCATCCTGTCAAGTTGTCGGTGGCTGTATCTCGGCTGAGATTGCGTGGGGTGTAGAAGTTGAGCTCCATCTTGCCAGCATAGCTTTCATGTCTGATCCTGTGCTCAGCTTCATGTGTGATTTGGCCAGGTGCTTCTTGCCGCGGAGCACGTCACCGTGACAAAATCAACTCTAGCAGAGTGGGAGGATCTCCAGGTGGAATGCATCGGCCTAAACCCTAAACCCTAAATCCTAAACCCTAGACCCTAAACCCTAGCATAGAAGATCGAGTCGACAGGATGTCGTGGAGGGGGAGATTAGCAAGTTCTACGAGGCGGGTTGGGTATTTCCCCGCTCTGGAGCTCAGTTTGCCTTCTTTCCAGGCCGGGCATACAGTGATCGAGGCGTCTGCCGTGGAGTCCACGGATCCCCAGGTCAGGGGTAGGGTTTAGGGTTTAGGGTTTAGGGTTTAGGGTTTAGGGTTTAGGGTAGGGTTTAGGGTTTAGGGTTTAGGGTTTAGGGTTTAGGGCCCCCCCCCCACCCCCCATTCAAGACGACTCGCTTGCGTGAGGACTTCCCAGAGGGCAGCATCGAAGCCGAGATCCTCGAACTGCTTGAGGAGAGTTCCAGCGCGGCGCGCGCGCGCGGGGCGCGTCGGATCTGCTTTGGACAGGAGAGGGTGAGGCCTTTTGTTCAGCAAGACGGCGGTGACATAGAGTTTGTGCGTTCCTCGCTGGAATTAAAACAGCCCAGAACAGGAAGGCTGTTGCCTTTTCCTTCTTGCGAGGCTTTGACCATGCAGACAGCACCCTGTACCTCAAGATGGTTGGCTCCTGCTCTGGCTGCTCCCAGTCCCATGCTACGCTGCAAGAAGGCGTGAAGAACTTGTCAGGAGCTCGGTGCGACATGCTTAGATTCCCTGCGAGGGCATAGTGGTCTGAGGATGGATCACTACATCCCGCAGGTGAAGCAGATCGTTGGACTCAACGACGAGATGGACTGGGCTGTGAGACTGTTCTCGAATCTCACCTTGTGACCTTGACAGCCCTACGCCCCGTGGTGTTCGGACTCTGGGCCCTTATCCCTGAAATTTAAACCGTCAATTACAAGCCCCAAGCCCTGCAACCCCAACCCCACCCGAAGTCCCAAGTCCTAGACCTTCACCAATCTTTGCTACAACCTTGAACTGCAAAGCCGTAACTCGGAATCCTTTCAGGACGAGGATGTGCCGCGGCCGGGCCGCTGAGTGTCCTCGTAGCGGCGCTGCCGCAGAGCAGGGAAGCGTGGATGGTGAGTGTTTCCTAGAAGGCGCTCGGTTTCTGTTGTTCTCCCTTTGTATTATGGCTCTGAAAACTATGTGCATATAAATAAATACATAAATAAATAAATAGATAAATAAATCAGCATATATATATATATTATATACACACATACATATTCTGTGCATGCGCAAATATAGATATAAACAAACATGTGAATGTTTCATTTCTGCTTCCTCAAAGGGAGTGGAGTTATCGCTAATTCCTTCCCCCTCTTATCAAGCACAACCTAATAATCAATACACATTGGGGCGAATCCTCCCGAAATCATCCCTGCCCTTTAACACCTATACTGAACTAGGGGGAGGGTTTCAGGGCTCCAAAAGACCCTGGAAGAACAGAGGGCCCCTGATGCTGAAGGGGGAAGAGATTAGTGATTTAGTGTTGTTACTATTGTTATGGCTCAGTGAGTTCTTGTTCTTAACCCTTGCATTTTGTTGTTCGTGCAGTCTACTGCGCTGCTGCTACTGCTATTGCTGCTACTGCCACCACTACCACCACTACTGCTACCACTACTGCTGCTACTGCTGCTACTTCTGCTACTACGGCTACTGCTGCTGCTGCTGCTGCTGCTGCTGCTGCTGCTGCTGCTGCTGCTCCTGATACTACTACTACTACTACTACTACTACTACCAATTCTACTACTACTACCAATTCTTCTACTACTACTACTACTACTACTACGACGACGACTACTACTACACTACTGCTGCTGCTGCTACTGCTCCTGCTGCTGCACTGCTACTGCTACTGCTGACACTGCTGGCGCTTCTGGTGCTGCTGAACTGCTGCTGCTATTGCTGCGACGACGACGACAACGGCAACCACGAAAACTGACGAAGATACGACGAGTGCGACGACGATGATGACAACTACTATGGCGAGTACCACTACGAACACCACCACGACGTTGACGACGATTGTTGTTATGGCTTTTTTCTTTGCTTTTGGCCACCGAATTGTTTCTCAAGAACGCTGGCTTTGTAATGGTTATTAACGTGCTTTTGTTATTGCCTACCCTGCAAGATCAGTCTCTGACCTGTGACTTGGATCCGGGTTTCTCAATGCTGTCGGCCCTTTCTCGAGTAGCCTTGCCACCCTACCACGCCGTCTGGAATGCCCATCGTATTTCCGCCATGCGTGTGTGATCACTCATCTTCAAGTGCATTGCCGACATCACTACTGCGTTCTTGTCGGCTATCGTGCAGCATAAAGCTTCGACGGAGTCGGGGCTGAATCAGTGATGCACACGAGAGATTCCCGGAAGTCACAGGACCTGTAGGCAGCGCATTGTAGTCTGCACCGCTCGGGAGGACAGAGGCGTCCGGCGTCTGTTTGTCCCGGCAAGCCTTCGGCGTCCTTTGAGAGGACGCTGTTAAGGGTGCTCGCTTGAGCTCAAGTGTACAGGAGCTTCGATTTACGCAATGATGCGCGTGCTGGCGAGCTACAGCAAATGGCGCTAAACCCACCCGCAGCAAGAAGTCCAAAAATCGCATGCTTGCAGAATCACTTCTTCATTGTCAGCCGAAGGATGTTTCTGGAGTGAGAGCTAGGAGTCCGCTCAAGCACAGCACTCCCTTTTTTTCAGGCTTGATGCAAGCGTTGAAGGCTTCTGTTGGAGGCCAGCAGCTGTTAGTCGCACGAGGCGGATGTCACAAGAGGAGTGCTGAGCGTCAGGACGGCGGAATTGTCCCATGTGTCGAGCTGCCCTGAAGAGCATCGATGGCATCCGTCTTCTTCGTGCCGGGCCCTTTCCTTTCAGCCTCCTTTCAGCGGAGGCACAAGAGCCAAGATGCAGTCTCGGAATCTCGCTTCCGTGGGCACTGCCCCCACAAACCCAGCACATCTGAGTCTGATGTCATGTCAAGCATTGCTTGCTGAGATCTCGTAGTCGGACCTCGTGGTTTTCTACTTGGGTTGCCGTCGCTTGCTTTCGAAGCATCCTTTGGGGTCATCTGCACTTCAAGTCCAAACACGTGGGTAGAAGCAACACTCATCGGCGCTTCAGTCTTATCTCAAACCAGGCCCTAGGCTAGCTGTGAATAATAAGTTTTACATGCAATGCAGGGCGAGCAAGTTCGCTCTCCGATCAATCTACTTGATTGTCATTGCATGCCTCGTCAACTAGTAGTGAATTCTGGTTGGCCTGAGGTCTACAGCAGTGACACCGAGAATCTGGAGTCGCTTTGTTGCAGCCAGTGTGATGCTGACTCGTCGTCGCAGGCCGAACCATGCTTGATGCTGTACCCTAGGTTTCCCATTCCGAAGGCTTTTCGCTACGACGGCGTCCGCGAGCGGCGGCGTTTTGCGGTTCCGGAGGTGCAACATGGTGAGTTCCATGGACGCTCTCGCCGAAGTCTGAACCTATCCTTGACACTAACGTCGAAGACGGCAGCCAGCATCCCACTGATTCGCAACCATCTTTGCAGGAAATGCGTCGATTCGCACTTCACTGGAGGATACACAACAAGGTGCCTCAGAGCTGGATTCCGCGGCAGTTTGTTGTGGCCGGTTTTGTTGGCAGCCGTACGACGCCCATACTTGTGGATTCTTTCGTGGATTGGCCGAGCGATGTTGGACAGGTTGCGAGCCACTTCAATCCCCGAGCTGCAGCATGTGAGGCTCTTTTCCAAGACTCCGGGTGTTTGTGGCTGTGCTTGATGTCGGAGTTGTTACTGCTATTTTTGCTGCTGTTTTGCATGAGCTCGGTATCATTATGTCCTTTCACAGCCGGTATGATGGGCATCAGTATGAGTATCCGAGCCAGCAACAATATTGAATAACAATAAGAAGAATAATAAGAATAATCACAAAAAGAAGAACAGCAACAACAACAGCAACGACAACAACTACTGCTCCTGCTACTGCTACAAGTATTGGCGACGAAAAGGGCCATGGGGACGGCGGCGACGACGACTGCTACTGCGAAGGGCGACGACGGCCACGGCTACTACTCAAGTTGCTGCTGCCATTGCTTCCACTGCCAGCACTACAAGTGCTATTCTGATATTGCAGTTACGCTGATCTGATTAGATTGATCGGGTCTGGGTCTTAGTACTATAATTGCCCCTTTCTCCTCCTCGTCCTCGTCGATCCTCCTCCTCCTCCTCCTCCTAATGACCGACTACATCGTCGTTACCATGAGTCGTCTTTCTCACAATCTTTGTCAGCGTGGGCGTCGTGACCTTCACCGTCATCACCATCATCATCAGTGTTGTCGCCGTGTCGTCGCCACCACTAGCAACATCACCAGCACCAGCATCGCGCCAGCGCCAGAGTCAGTGCCAGCACCAGCACCCACACCAGCGGCAGCAGCAGCAGCAGCAGCAGCAGCAGCAGCAGCAGCAGCAGCAGCAGCAGGAGCAGCAGCAGCTGCAGCAGCTGCTGCCATTAAATTTTGTTCTTCCTCCTCCTGCCGCTGCTACCTCGCCCTGACCTCCAAGCCATGCGGAGGGAAGCGGTCGCTTCAGGCTGCCTACGAGAAGTTGATGCTCTGCAGTCCGCAAAGCTCTGAATTTGAGGCTGCCAGGACGGATCCGAAGAGATTTCGTGTTTGGGGCCTTTGGGTTTCAGGGTTTGGGGTTTACGGTGTAGGCTTTGTGTAGGCCACCGTGGATGGCTGGCAGTGGATGTTCTGGCTTCGCTGCAGACATCATGCATCCTGTCATGTTGAGCTGTGGGTTTTTGGTCCCACGCAGCTTCCTCATAGAAGCCAAGAAGGTATAGCTGTCCAATAGCAAGAGGACAAGAGGCAGATCAAGCCAGTGTGCTCCGGACCCCGGAATTCTAGCCAAGTCTGCGGCCATGGCCTCGGGAACAAGCTCCAGGAAGCGACCGCTTGAGGCCGGTCCATGCATTCTCACGCAAGAAGGAACCGAACGTAACAGCGTGCCTCAGGAGGATGCCGACCTTCGCGAGATGGTGGTCAGTCAAATCGAGGCAGGGCCTTCAACTTGGTTGTAGGTGGCGCATGACGGTCTGAGCGAAGGCTGCGTTGTCCGAGTCGCGGCCAAGCAACAAGTACATCATTGTTTCGCATCCCTCCATGAATCATATCAAGCGCCTTTGCTGTATGGCTCAGCCAAGAGCCTGTCTGCAGTGCGAGGCCAAGGCAAGGAAGGGAGAGGGTCCCGAACAACTGAGGGACGCGCTCGTCAAGCTCGCCCCGCAGTCTTACTCCGAGGCCAGACAGCACACATCTACACCAGTGCCGCACGGTACTTGTAGCATCTCTCGCCCAGCAGGTGAAAGTCGACTGGCGCACGCGGGACAGCAAGAAGAAAAAACAGTTGCGCAAGCAAGCTGTTTTCGTGCGGAACCTCCGGACGAAAGCAAGGTGAGTTCGAGTCTGGCATGCCCAACATCTTCATCGAGGAGGTTCACAGACTGCTGCCTGCCCACGTGCTGCTCCTCCTGAACATGCGACGCAAGGGCCACAGGGCACGGCCATGCACAGCTTAGAAGATCTCGATTTTGTCGCATAAGGCAAAGAGATCCTCTTGGACCAGCTCCTTGTATCAGGATTGGCAGTGCTCGGCAGTAGCTCTGCGAGTTGCTCTTCACTTCCGAGGCTCTCGCTGCTGTATGCCATTCCAAGATATGGCTGTAGGTCCCTGACGGTGCTGCTGCCTTTCTTCCCCACAGGGACCATGGAGCAACTTCGACTTAAAAGAAAGATCTTTGGAGCCAGGACTCTCTTTCGACTGGTTCATTGAAAACCGAGGCGCGTAGATCGAGAAGGGGAGGTGGCCACTGCCTCCACACTTTCTCGGATGATCTCAGCTGTGCCCATGACTCCCGGTGGACCTGCTCGCTTCTTGATCTTCGACATTCACGCCCTGCAAATCAGGTCGGGGCTGTGATCAGTGCTGTTTGCCAGGTCCCATTGCTGGCAAGTGCAGCACCTGTCCAGGTTTTACTTTCAAGACAGCATCCTTCCAGTTCTGCTCTCCGCGATGCCTTTGCTGCTGAACCTGCTGAAGACACGACCCTCAACCTCGATTGCAGAGAGGGCAGCGCGTCGTCTCCTTTTTTTTCGGAAGCGTCACGGCTAAGGATTCAGCACAGAGGCTCGTCACATGCTAAGTTTGCATTGGCGACTTTGATCTTTCTTCAGTAAACGGTACGAGAGGACGGCATTCAGAGAGTGGTGTGGAGGCTGTTGCGGTGGCCTTCCCAGACGAGGGAGCCAAAAAGCGCTTCGGCGGATTCTTTGAAAAGGCTGGCTATCCTGTCTCGTCCTCGGCCGTCTGCATTCCGCCGCACTGTGATTACCTGGCCCTAAACCCTAAACCCTAAACCCTAAACCCTAAACCCTAAACCCTGACCTGGAATCGGGTCCCGGATCAGGTCCTCTTCTGCAGCAAAGTTCGCGAAGGAGAGAAGCTAGGTGGCAATTTGGGAAACTTTAAAATTTCCCTGATGGTTTCTATAGAGGTACCTATTCATAAATACTTTTCAGGGCCCCAGAACTGCAACCCAGGAAGAGAGTAGTCCGGGTTGCAGAAGGCGATCCTGAAGGAAAGCACGTCTTTATTGTTGACGACCTCTGCAACACAGGCCAGAACCCAAAACCCAAAACCCTAAACCCTTCAGTCTGTCTGCCGTGCACTGCAACATGACATAAACAGACATGGCGCCTGTGCTGTATGCTCCGTGTCAATATGGGAGTTTCAGAAAATTAGGGGTACCTTATTTTGGGGTCCTTGTAATAGGGATCCTATTATTTAGGGTACTATATTAGGGCCCCCTTTTTTCGGAAACCCCCATATTGCAGTTACATCGGACTTTCAGAAAATCCTTTTGTACATGCTAGACTGCACCCGACTTTCTGAACACCCTCCACACTTCATCTGCTTCCGAATTTCAGCTCGAAGATGAAGAACCAGGCGTGCATGGTGAGCTTGGGAGCCATCTTCGTAGCCTGCTTGAGCTATGCTGCAATGCGCCCCATTTCTGCAAGTACGTCTGTCTGGGTCATAATAACCTCCAGACGGGACGGATTCAAGCGGCGAGTTGCAGCAAGAGAGCTTTGGCAAGATGCCAGCTGCGACCAGTGCAAAGTGAGCTTTCAGTTCGTTGTCTGCAAAGAGCCGCAGCTCTCGCCCAGCGAAGCTGCACAGCTCGATGCCGAAGTCAAGTCCTTCGGAGACGTGCAGCTTCTGGATTGCGAGGAAGGCTACGACAAGGGCAGGCTGGTCCAGAAGGTCGCGGCCGGCATGAGGGACTTCCTTTCGCGATCCTCCTCGGAGACTTTGCTTCTGATGCTTAGAACTTAGGTTAGGGCCCGGGCCGTCTGCTCCTTTCTGTCAAGCTGGGCCTTGATTTACCCCTGTCTGCAAGGACTACTTCATGAAGGTCGACGACGATGCCTTCGTGGCCTGGAGCCGCCTATGCCCGAGGCTGCACCAAATTTCTCCCAAGAGCCATGCCTATGCGCCTCCTCCTGCACGTAAGTGCTGCAGGGCTCCTAGTTCTATCGCGCTTCGGGATCTACGCTTCTGACGGTTTCATTCTTTTCAGCCTTGAATGCTTTGCCTAAACCCTAAACCCTAAACCCTAAACCCTAAACCCTAAACCTTAAACCCCTAAAAACCCTAAAACAATGGTGTCTCATTGATCCTGCGTGCACTCAGGCTGGGGTTCCAGATATGGTGAACAGGACCGACTGGTGGTTCAACAACACCGAGAGTCCTAACTACGATCCGTGGGAGAACTGGCCATTTCCTTTCTATCCTTTTCACATGGCAGGCGGGCCCGGGTATGTGATTGGGTCCGAACTTCTTCGAGCTGTCGCAGAAAGATTTATGAGGCCCCCTCTGTCCTGGAACGAGGACAAGGCAGTGGGTATTGCGGTTCACAGAGCTAACTGGAGTGGCCTACCAGTGAGTTACCATTACCTTCACATGGATGATGGTGAATCCGATGGCTTGCCGTTCACCGGCAATTGGAGCGACTACCCGTTCTTATCACAGCATCAGTTGAGCGGTGAGTCGATACGCTGCTTACACCGAGTCGAGAAGGAAGGCGGCCGCGTGGATGCTTGCTACGTTCACACTCCCTGGTTGCGTGAGCTGCTCCGATAGCAAAGACAGCCGTTGCCGCAGTGCAAGCACATTCATCCACTCCGTGGCAAAACGGGCAGTCGTGCGAGAGGTCATGAGATGAACATCAGTTCAGCGCAAGCACGAGGGCTGTGAGAATGCACGACCAGGACTCCGAGCACAGACCTGGATTGATGCTGGGGGTTGCGCTTGTTGGCGCTTGTTGTAGTTGCTGCAGGAAAAGCGCATCCAGCAACGGACGCAGACGACACTGCAAGAGCAGGTCAACAAGAGATGCTACCAGATTTGTTTGTTGAATCGCGACATGGTTTTTGGGTAGTTTATCTCCTGCCTCAGGGCCAGAAGACGAATCTTGGTCGGCTGAACCGAAAAGAGCGATGCAGCTGACTTGTCACGACCGGTTGCTTAGCCTGAGCGGTACCATTGCTTTGCCTTCATCCACCATTGAGGCTCAAGGCTTTGTTCTGCGACTACCTAGTTGGGCTTATCGCAGACTGCCTCGCCACACCATGTGGCGGCCTTTCTTCCTTAGTCTCTTTGCCGTGGGGCGAGCCTCCGAGACCATGCATGTGGTTGATTTGGCGCAGGCCATGACGAAGCCTAGGGAGACTCATGTCCGTCCATTCGAAATGTTTGGTACGAGGCTACTGAACCGCGCAACGACTAAGTAGTAGCAGTCACCTCAGCTTCGTGTGAGACTTGCGCAGGTCATGTGTCCAAAGCCTGTGAGCAGCAATCCCAATGCTCCTCCACTGCCGGATTACAACCTGTACATCCCATTCACGAGCTCCGTCGACATGGACTCCCCGTACATTATCAGCTTTGTCCGTGCAAGTCAGCAGGTGCAGGTTGAAAATTGATCAGCCAGTTTAGAGAGATCACTCCAGGCGTAGCAGCTGCTAATCTGGACCTGCAATGCTGAAGTTAGGGGCTGTTTCGTGGAAATTATCTGCATGCTCGTTTAGACGGCGTGGGCCTGCAGGCCATGACCATCGACTTCTCGATCGTGGACGCGAATAATGTCACGGTGATACCTGACACTGTCGTGACCCTTCAAGAGTTGTCCAACACCGTGGACAACAATTGCAGATGCACCATGCCCACTATTCCAGCACAAGTGGCGGCCACATATGGCCAAAATTACGGGGCGCAGTGTCAGGCTTGGGATAATGCGAAATGTGACGAACTCTGGGGTGGCTTGGCCGCAATTCTGCTGGACGTCGTTTTCCATGACCTCTAACCCCCGAATAGGTAACATCTCATCATCCTACTAAGTCCCTGATCCTCCATGCAGGCGACCTGACCGTTGGAAGCTGGTGCTGCAGGCCTTGGTGCTACGCAACGAAAGATTGCCCCGATGCCTACCAGAGCACAGCGATGCCTGGCCAGTTCTTCAGCTATGCTGCTTGCAGAACCTTCCCTCCAACGACTCCCTGCACCTGGACAGCTGTGGCCGAGCAAAACGACCCGTGCAAGTGTAAGAACAAGGCCAGCCTGTTCAGTGTAGCCATGAACAATACGTTTGCAAGCAACTATGGAGAATCCTGCGCCTCTTGGGATATGACGAACTGTGCTCAAAACTATCGGCCAGATCAAGTCGACACGTGGTGCTGTTCCAGCTGGTGCTATGTCGACAAAGAGTGCCCCAGCGCAATCCAATCTTTGAACCCGGGAATGGAGGGTATTCTATTCTGGTCCGACAGTGAGTGCCAGGATGATTCTGCTCTGATGTCTCAGTGCCCGTACCAACCAACACCCAATGTGTCAGCAACTGACACGTCATGCGACTGTTTGAATGTGCAGATGCCTACCGCCAGCCTCGTCAGCGCTGGGCTGAATGCAAGTTTCGCTAACTATGGCCAGCAGTGTGCCCCGCATGATTCCTTTATCTGTCACATCACATATCCCGATGCGGATCATGGGATGTGGTGTTGCATGTCGTGGTGCTGGGTTGATAAGTCATGTCCCACTTCTCGCGCTTCCACGGTGTGGCCTGGAAATTTCTGGAGCCAGACGAGATGTGAGATGGACCCTGACACTGTTTCAGGATGCCCATACGACACCCAAGCATGCGAATGCCGTGGGCAGCTGCCAGCTGGTTCACTTCCGAGTGGTTTCGCCTCCAACTACGGCAGCTCCTGCAACGACTGGGATAGCACCTCCTGCAAGGCGACTTGGTACCACAACCCAGACAGTGGTTGGAACTCTTCTTCAGACCACGAATGGTGCTGTGACTCCTGGTGCTACGTCAACAGCAGCTGCCCCATTGCCAAGCAGTCCTGGTTAGGCATCGGCTACTACTTCAGCTATGAGACATGCCACTCGGTTGATACCAGTTCAACTACTGCTGGAACTCTAGAGGACATGTGGCAGAAGCAGCAAGTCGCAAGCAGCATCGAAACCTAGGGTTGTTTTTCGTTTGCTTGAGGTGACGACCCATCTGCGACCTACAACGAAGCAGCCGACACCTGTGACGGGCCTTTGAGGCGGCTCGAGGGATCTCCGACTGAGGCCGAAAGCTTTGCCTCCGAGTCGGCTCAGCCTCGCATTCTCTCGGCCCGTCGTCGTGGAGGCAGCAGGCGGGACCCCGCACTCAGAAAGTTGCAGGAAAAGCCCCGGAAATATCAAGCAAAAAGCAGCCAGCCCGAGAGGAGAAGCAGCGGTAGCAGCAGCTGGTCGAGCTCGGGCAGCCGGCGGCGCTCTCCACCCGCGCCTCCGACGTCTCCTCGCCGGCGATCCTTCTCTGCGCCAACGGCCGCTCGTCCGCATTGCCGCTGCTTGTCCGTCAACCTGAAACCCCTATGGCCCATGGCATGTCATGGCCGTGGTGGTGAGGCCTCCTATCCACGACGTCGGGCGACGTTTTCGACACCACGTCGCCGGGCCGTGCGCCGCCGCGCCCCTCCTCCACCGGTCCCTGCTCCTGTGGCCACCCGCCGGCGAACCACGAGCATCAGTGGGAATACCTACACCACCACGGGCCGCAGGCGAGCCCCTGCTGGCCAAACGGACGTTCGCCGAAGAAGGAGTGTGTCGTACGGCTACACAAGCCGCCCTCAGATGATGAACAACTTTGGTGGCAACTCGGCGCTGTCGGAGCTAGCCCTTAGGCCTTAGGCAGTCTTCTGGGTTGAACCTCAGAAGTGTGTACAGACTAATATATCTACGATCAACTATTCACCTCGTGCTCTGAGGTACCATGCCGCAGCAGACCAGCTATGGATACTCGGGGTACCATACTGTCCCAGCTAACCAGCCCACGAATGTTGCCATGTATGCTCTTGGGGGCGCGGTGGTAGGGGCTGGTGCCATGTATGCCTATAACAACATGTACGGAGATGCCTACGGAGATCATCGGAGAAGGCGAATCTATCCCTTCAACAATGCGGATTTCTGCATTGTCACAGCGGCGGGCAGTCGGAATGGTGACTTTATGGAGTGCCTCCAGTGCCGGCGACTTTATGGTCATGGCCTTAGTTTGACTCGCTGTAAAGGCGTCACAAACGTCGCGGTATCGTAGGTTTGCTTGAGGAAGCTTTCCGAGGCATCTCTATGTGTCCGTCGGCCAGTTCCTGTCAGACGTCTACAGGGTGCAGCTACACGCCACCTGCACCCATGAACCGAGATGATCTCGCCAGAACCGGCTTCATTCCGGAGGGCTACACCTTTCCACTCCGAGTGATCTTCAACAAGGTCAACGGGTCAGGAATCGTGACCGACCCGATTTCTGGTGGCCTCTGTCCTCCTACCACCCAGGCCGAGGCGGATCTCGTGGAGACCTTCAACAAGACGATGTCCTTTGCCCCGGAGCTGTTCTTGGTCATGACCAAGCAAAGCGTTACGCGGACAGCTGAAGCCTGTGAAAGAGACACATCGACTACTTGCAGCTCTTCGTGCTGGCTGGATCACACCACATGTGTGAATGGCGTTTGTCTTTGCCAGTCAGGATACTGCTGGGACGGTAGCATCAGAGAATGCCGGCCCTCAGCCCTGGCAAGTGCCAGCCACGACTGCGTAGTCTGCTTGCCACTGCTGGCGAGCCTGGCGCTGCTGCGAATGCTGCGCGTCGTCTAAGACAGTCTCACCTGCAAAATGTTCAGCAGAGGCCTGCCGGCGGGGTCCACGGATGCGTCGAGTTCACTTCGTTGCAACATAAGGGGCACATGCTTGGTTTTCGAGCCATCCCAGACTCCTCCTGCAGACCATTGTGCACCACGGTCCACGGAGCTTGTCCGAAGCAGACCAGGCTTTGTGGACACTTCCTCAAGTGCGAACTTGATTTGAATCATGGTCCTCCTTTACCGAGTCTGATCCATGCCGGCTGCACCCCGTCAGGGAGATAGCTGGGCGAGCCTCAGGTTTGTGAGCTGCTCAAGGACACACCAAGACGGCTTTCCTATCAGCTATCGCAATCTGGCCGGCCATGAGTGCCGAAAGTTCCTTGCGTTTGAGGATATGGAGGGATGAGTCAAGCTGAGAAAACAGGGTCACGCAGCTCTGTTTTTTGGGGTAGGTGCCCTTGACTCTAAGGCCCTACAGGCCCAAGATGTCTCATCATCCCTTCAGGTGGCACAGTCCTGGCTTGCAGGGAAGAGCTCGCGAAGCGCGGAGCGAAGAAGGTCGTATCCTTAGCTCAATGCTTGATTCTACAGCTGGGTAGTTCTCTAAATTGGGGTCCCTTTTTAGGTCCCCAATATAGTACGGCACCCTTATCCAAAGGACCCCAACAAAAAGGGACCCTAACTTAGAGAACTACCCAGCTACAGCCAAGAGGAAGTCTGAAGTTTCGTGAGAGTTTAAGCAGGTCTCAGTCTTCGTTACTCACGGTGTCTTCCCTCTTGGGCGCAGCCCTCAGTCTTGACAGCAGCCTTCTGGGTCCACCCAATTTGTGTCCTATCGTCAGCTCCCGGGAGCTTCCTCATTGACAATGGGCCCAGACAGGTCATGGAAAAAGTTCGAGGGTGCTGGCTTCGAAAAAATCTTCATTACCGTTCCTTGACCTTGCAGGCAGTATGATTTTGAGGAAGCCACGATGGTGCGTGTTTTGTGTGCGAAGCTGAGGACAGTGTACCCGAGACGTGCGAGATCTTCCGTGAGCACCAGGCGCCGAGCGTGACTTTAAACGGATCTCCTGCGTGGGTCTGCGGTCAAGATGAGTTCAGCGTGGGTCGACCCGGGTGCTGACTCGACTTGCTGGTCCTGTGTTTAGTAATGTACAACATACTGTTTTTAACAATATACTGCAATATCGTATAGTACAGTATCGTATACTATACTACACTCTGCTATGCTATACCATGCTATACGCCACTCCACTACACCGGACTACGCTATACTATTGTCTTCGCAGGCGGCACGTGGAGAATCATCAACCTTCGAGATCATTGGCCTGGCTCCAGCTCTGCACGAGTACTTGCAAGGTGCAACAGGGGCCACTCTTGCTACGGCTATCTACGGCTGCTCTTAGCACCACTGACTACGACTAGTGACTAGTATGATTATGGTTATAGCTATCGTTATTCTATGATTACGAAGATTATTGCGATCATTACTAGTAGAAGTATTAGTATCCATAACATTGTTCAGCCTAAGCCCAAAACCCCAAACCTTAAACCCTAAACCCTAAACCCTAAACCGCTTGGTCAGTCTTGGAGATGATGGTTCGTCTCTCAGCGGTAGACCTGAAGCAAGTGAGGGGCTTCTGAGCAGTACAGGCACCGGCTCCTGTAGCAAAGAGGTCCCTGAAGCCAGGAGACAGGCCCTCAGTGCTCAAGTATAAAAAGAAAATGAAAACTATTACTTACTACTAACAACTGCTGCTGCTACTACTACTACTACTACTACTACAACTACTACTACGACTACGACTACGACTACGACTACGACTACCACTACTACTGCTACTGCTGCCTTCTACGCTACCACTACTACTACTTCTTCTTCTTGTACTATTTCTACTACTACTACTACTACTACTACCACCACTACTACTCCTGCTGCTACTGTTGCTGCTGCTGCTCCTACTACTACTACTACTACTACTACTACTACTACTACTACTACTACTAGCCACCCCCCTACCAACTACCCTTCGTCATTGTCATTAACATCATAACCACCAACATCACGAAAAAGCAAACACATCTCATCATCAACACCACCAACACATGTCATCACCTTTCATCACCAACATCACCACCAAAAGTGCTGTAAATACCGAGTATAAGCGGGGTTGTGTGCGAAAGTACGGTAAATACTCAGGAAAAGCTTTCCCCCACCCAATTTCGAGTTTTCGCTGCAAGCCGTTCGAGACCCCCAAGTTTAAGACGCACAGTCCAGAAGTAGGGGTGGCAACTATATAACAAAGTACGATATCACGAAAGTACTGTGTAAAACAGCTCTTGTGGTAATATTGTTGGTTGTGTTTGCGTAACACTGTCGTCATCATCCCCCCCACACGCCCCCAGAAGCAAGTCTAAAATCAAGAGGCCGAGTTTGCAAACTCGGCAAGTCGATCTTGAGGCTTCTTTTGATGATCGTACATGACGAAAGTGCTGCAAATATCGAGCAACACGGATCTGCTCTTAAGATGGTTTAGAGCAAGTGTAGTTGGTAGGGGGAGCCTACTACTACTACTACTACTACTACAGTACTACTACTACTACTACTACTACTACTACTACTGCTACTACTGCTACTACTGCTACTACTGCTACTACAACTACAACTACTACAACAACTACTACTACTACTACTACTACTACTGCTACTACTGCTGCTACAACTACAACTACAACTACAACTACTACTACTACTACTACTACTACTACTACTCCTGCTGCTGCTACTACTACTGCGACTAATACGACTACTACGATGCTACCACGACGACGACGACTACTACTGCTGCTGCTGCTGCTGCTGCCCAAGTTGTTTCTACCGTTTCTAGTCCTGTCGCCTGCGTGACTGCAGTGCTCTATTGATGCGGGGCAGTCCTGGCATCGTCTAATGTCAATGGCAAGTTGACGCCCTCTTTGGTTGAAACGAAGGACGAAAGTGCCATGCTCAGTGCAGCTCTAGTTTGGCGAAGCCATGCCATCAGCACCCCACAGGCAGCTGGTCTATTCATCACGCCTCGAAGTCTTCTTGTGCTGCCTCGTCTTCCCACAGCAGGATCTCCTGGCCACTCCTGGCTGCGCTTCAAGGAACGCTCTTTGAGCACGAGCCCTTAGCGACATGGGCCAAGCCAACCTAAAGCACGCAGGCAGCTGGCTGCGTTGATGTGTCAACCCCCGAACCCCAAAATGGAGAGCTCGATGTCTGCGAACAGTAACGCTGCAAAAGCCCATGCAACGATCCAAAGCCCTGGAAGGAGACAAATGACTACGTCGGGCCCACGAGTTCGCTTCCGCGGGGCTCACCTGCAGGTATGGAAGAACCGAGTGTGTGAGGTGCTAGGTCTTTGATTTGGGGTTTGAGGTTGGGGCAAAGGAAACTTAAGAGCATTGGGAGTGCAGAGACAGAGACGAAGAACGCAAATGCCAAGTAGCTCTAACGCAGTGTGATTCGGAGGGTACCGGAACCCTATATGAAACCTAAAGCCCTAAACCCTACCATAGTGGGAAAGGTTAACCTTGTTTGGGCTAGGGTATTCAACCCCTAAACCCTAAACCCCTAAACCCTATAAACCCTAAACCCCTTTTCAGCATG